TAAATCTACCCGAAATGGAAAAGCGTGTAAATTTTTGAGGCAATGTGGGAGTCAACATGAACACCAACAGAGACCGGTCAGTTAAACCGGGACAGGCAGTCAGAAGCTCTCTGAAAGCCATATGGACACTTACTCTGATGCAAAAGTACAGCGACATTGGAACAAGAAATTTATTTGCCTGACGTTTCGGATTCTCACTTTGATTAACCCTGCACCCGAGAGGACAAGAACACAGGAGAACGGCTAGGTTCAGGCGGGAAAACGTGCTTCCAATCGGACGCTTTGAATATCATTTTCGCCTCTCCCCACCAGGAACGGGAGGGTCCATGCAGGGCCCAGGTTTCCAGTTTTGCGGATCATTGGGATTTGGTGCTGGCCACATTGATCACAAATGTCGCTTTCAGGGAACAGGCTAGGTACTTCTCTCTGGATGGGTTCTTCACTTCCATTTGACTGAAATCATTGTTCAGAAGACGAGTTGGTGAGCATAGGTCGTTTTGGATATATTCTCATCAGGCACATCCGCCCATCAAATTCACGATGGAGATAGGAGTGGCCTGTTTGCTCCCCTTCTTAGAGCTCCCTCTAAATAGGAATCCTGACGGCAGCGTTCGACGGAGCGTCGACGAGAAGAAAACGTATTCTGTAGAATTCACCAACTTTGACGGTTCCATAATCCCTTTAAAATATCTGGGCCGGTGTTAGTCACAGAGCTAGAAATATTTGTTAAGCAGGCGACATAATGAGAAGTTTAGAAGAATCTAGGATCTTCTTCGAGCAAACGGGTACCCTGACAAATTTCTTGCAAGGAACATTGCCGAATGACCGGCAAAATCCACCAAACTGGTTGCCGAACAGAAGACTTTGTTCCTCAGATTTCGCTTTTAAGGAGACGCTTATGGGTATCTACTGAGAAGACGCCTTTTCAATCTGTCTCGAGAAACTTCCCAGCAGCAAGTGCTCAAATATCATTTTCTAATAACCCTATTTTACTCAGAGAATGTAAGGGTAGGCTGCCAAATCAGACCACATCAATGTGGATCTATTCATTCACTTGTTCCTGTAGAGGAGGTTATATTGGTCGTACGAGTCGGCGCATTTCCAAAAGAATACGAGAGCACTTTCCCGCATGGCTGGCAAAAGGTGAAACTAGAAGAACAGACAGCGCCATCCTTGCGCATGCAGTGGATTCAGGGCATCGGGTGGACCGTGCTGAAGCTGTTCGTGTGATTTATAAGGTCCCTCGACGAATCTTAAGCTACTCACCTAGCGCCTTTTAGCAACAGCAAAAGCGACCGCAATCGTGTCACGAAAACCGATCCTATGCTCCCAGAAGGATCTCGTTCAGACTCCTCGCTTGCCATGGTCAAAGGTTGACTACCTAAATACAACTTTTTGCGCCCTTCAGGCTACTCCCCGCCTTTGTTTTAAAACTAACTTTCATCGATTTTTCAATCACCGACATGTCTGACTGTACTCCGTTCCCATATTAGTGTAATGGCCTGAAGAGAATCTATCGAAAACAACGTATGCTCGCCAACTCGTCTTCTGAATACTGCTACGGGAACTTTTGTAACTATGCAATCATTGTCTCTAAATCTGCGTTTCTTGCAACGAAAACTGGCATATTAGTTAGTCCTACGCACTTTCCTCCACCGCCCACATGGACGTTCGTCCCTTCGTCACCCCTTGAGTCTTAGGTATCTTTGCATATGGACGTAGTTGCAGCCTTCTCTACGGAGTGTTAGCCGGCCGATGACAGACGGACCTTCTTGCTGGTGTGAACGGGTCTTTAATGCGTTTTAAATGCTGACCAAGGCTAAAGTCCGGCCTTCGCTTAAGTCGATTTAAGTGACAGAGGAAAGCCAGCCTATCATATACGAAAATTATACCAAAACTCCCACCGCCGAATTGATTCTTCTGTTCTTTCTCAGGGTGGTCACCAGATCCCATTAGCGGAGGATTAAGTGCAGTCCAGGACTCCGTGAGCGCCCCAGAGATGGCTGAAGTCGGTCATCTTGGCATTTGTTTCCTCTCCACGCCACACAATTTGGCCAGAATTTCGACACGGCAAGTAGCGCGACTGTCATAGGTCAGCTTAATCAACCGCCACATCGGGTTGCATGCGGCGGGAGGCTCTGTGTCAACAAGTAACCAACGCATGTTTGGGGTTTGATTCCGGCAAGAGGTACGGTTCTGACCTGCCACTAATCGCCGCTGAGAGTGAGGTCAGGGGCACCGACTGACTATCTAGAAGCCGGCAATTTCACTGATGACTAACGCGACAGACAGCAGGATATGCGAGACACGTCTGTTTCATATCACAACCGTGCTGTAAATTAGCCAGTGTTCGATGATGATGTTATTGCTGTTGTGGTTGTTGTTGCTGTTCTTGTTGATGACGACGCCGACGATGATGATGATGATGATGATGATGGTGGTGGTGGTGGTGGTGGTGGTGGTGGTGGTAGTGGTGGTGGTGGTGGTGGTAGTGGTGGTGGTGGTGGTGGTTAGACGTGCTTACGGCGGAAATTATTACACCTCAAATAAAACCGCCTTCGGTGGCGGCAATCCTTTGATAATATCACGCTCACCCAGGGCCACCCCCTAGATTTAGACCGTGGCTATTTTTGTGATTAGTCTATTCTTTCCGGTCGCTTCTGCAGGCACAGTCCAGCGACAGTCTCTCTTCATGAGTAGCGTCCGTGGAGTCAGAGGCCACAATGACGTATGCAAACTAGGCCCTGCCAGCCAATTAGATCTTAGCTGCTAGTGTGGAACTAGGTTGGTACGATGCTTTCAGGGTCCCCTCGGTTGCATTGTTTGGTCGTTTGATGGAGCTGATTAAAAATTGTGACTTTTACGGATGAGCATTACTGTCTGCTTTTAAAAACACGAATGGATTTTGGCATGAAGCACGGAATGGCCGAGATAGTATGCACTGTTGCACGAAGCAGCGACTGTCATTGTCTCATTTTTGAGGAAAAAATAATTAATTAGTACAGAATTTGGTTGAGATTGCCTTTATCTTTCACTTAACGACGGGAAATGGGAAGAGGAACCACCGAAAACGCAAGTGGCTTGACACCAAACTCCACAGAAATCGGGCCAGAGTTAACGTATGGTTTAGAGATAAGGTTATGGTTATGGTTAGGACTAAGATTAGGGTTACCGTTAAAGTTTGTGTTAGGGTTATTATTAAGGCCAACTGCATTACGAGGGCGAGGCGTTTCTATTCCCGTCTACTGTTCGGGGGCATTAAATAATTCCAACCCAGAATTCCCAATCGCCTAATAATCTGTCGATCCTCCTAATGATATAGCTATGAATAACAGAAACCGCAAAACGCAGCATAAGTTGCGAAAACAAAGAACCATTAGTTTATCCTCATTCATTGTGAGATGTTTGGAAAATTGCCTATATATATTTTGGAAAAAGCGACAATATCTTCTAAACAAACCACTAAATCAAAGATAATCGCCAATTTAAAAGAAGCCGAATGCGTGATTACTGGGACGGTAGATTTATTGATCGTAGCTTTCGAACTCCAACTGGAGTTCATAATCAGAGACTGCTAGAGTGCAGCAACCTGCGCCACTCACATGCTGGAGGAGGGCCATGAGGTCACCTTCGCCAAAACGCGGATGTTGGCGCGAGCCGGCAACAAGCCGGGGCGAGAACTGTTGGAGGCGCGGGTGTCGGACATCAACCCTATCAATAGACACATTGATTTGCCTGCGCCCACGCAGTCAGGTGGCGCAGCTCACATCGCCGCGAAGTACAATCGGCGTCACCACGCCGGGGGACCATTGTGGACCAGGCAGCACAAACCAGACCTAACCACGGACGTAGTCCCTTCCCGCACGGAACAACGATATAAATGTTCATACGTTGCTGCACTCTAGCAGTCTCTGATGATGAACTCCAGTTCGAGTTCGAAAGCTAAGGCCAGTAAATCTACCGTCCAAATGATCGTGCCTTCGTCTTCTTTTAAACAAGAACCTGGGATGCGCATAATCTCTTCCATCCGTGATAATCGTCAGTTCTATAAAGCAGAATTCGAAGGCGACAATAATATAAGCTACTTTTGCTGTAGGATACGAAATGAGATATCCTAGTAAATAGGTTCATATTCACTTTCAAGACGATTGTGTCTTACTGCCAGTATTTGTTGCAATTTGGCTGCATAACAAACCATACGGACTACGATGGGAGTCAGTTCAAGGCCCAGTGTAAGTTATTCAGTATGTACAGCCAGAAAAATGTCACATATGAGGGTGTGAATAGGCGCCTAGGCGCAGGATCACGCCGCACCGGCCACATTCATCCAATCTCTGCATCAGATAGCCGACTGGCTCGGAACATGGATTGGTGTATGGGAGAGGGAAGAGAAAGTGATGTTGACTCTGGGGAATCTGTTCACTAGGCATTCAGCATGCATTCCTCGCCACAAACAATCTGACGCACTTTCAAGTTCTAAGATCATCGATCAGGTTACGGGACACGCTCGTCCCAACAAGAAGTCGGGCTCGTGGCCCAATATTAGATTGCTTAAGTTAGCAGCCTTCAATGGCCAACGATTTCAGGTCCGAATCCCTGACCAAACAAACTTGAGTTGTGCATGATTAAATGACAATGGCTAATGAACCAGGAATGGCAATATCAGTTTCCGTTTTTTTTCAGAGTTTTCACTCCGCCTATGCTGCTAGTCGTTGTGGTATTGACTGCCAAGGCACTGGGTTGGGTAATAAGACGTAACAGGATGAACATGTCTCAAAACATGATCAATGAACGCACTTTCTACGATTTTGTCGAAGCCTTAAGCATTCACCGGAGTCAAATTCAAACCACGGACGCTCGTCTAGAGAAAGGAATTATTAACAAACGGAAATGTTTCGGCCGCTCTGTCAATGTTGGTCCAAACTAAAGTTTTTGTCCTTTTGCCTCGATTTCCTTTATTCGGTTGGCGCCGAGGATATTTGCCTTGGTTTTGAGGTCCTCCGCAATGCCCGACCATTAAATGATTGGTTAATTGGGCGGCATCATAGGAGTGCCCGTGCACTCTTGTTTTTGTTCACCTTCTATGCGACTTCTCGTAACAACGACTCCATAGGCGAGTCGGTTCAACGCATGCTCTCCAGTGTCTACACTGGTTGGCTACCTCAACTTAGTTGAATCTGATTCGATTTGGCATAAGTGTTCAGCACGTTAGTCAACTGCAGTGATTGAGTGTTTGGATTCGTTCGTACCAAATCGCACTGTACTTCCTTCAATTGGGAGCGGGAGGAGAAGGAGAAGTGGTTGAACTTTATGACTTGACTTTGGTGGAGCAACGCATTTAGGGCTGAAAAGAATGCTTCGACGATCCGAAAACTGAGCGCCGCGGTCTACCATTAGCTTGGCAAACTGTAGAGATCCAGACTCTAACCTCGCAGTTGTTTGTGATGATCCGTGAGAAGCATATGCTCCTGGTGGGAGAATTAATCCGTAGTTGCAAGGCGACTGCCAGCCTGCGCCGACCGATATTTTAAAAGCATTTTTTAAATATTGGTGCCTATTCCTGAGACATAAATGCCAGAAATTCAATCAATGTTCGCTTCTATTCTTCCAAATAATTGTGGAGTTCTACAAGGTTCCATCTTATCCCCTCATCTTTTCTCCCTACATACTGATGATTTGAGATCGCCAAACGACTGCCTGTATGTTAATTATGCCGATGACATGGTCGTAGGCCACCCACTCAAAAACCTGACTCACCTACAGTCTTTAAAGGATGGCTTAGATCACGTCTCCGCATGGTCTTCGAATAATGGACTCCTACTCAACAATCAGAAATCAGTACAGTGTATGTTTCGATTGCGACCCTCTCCCATTCCTGAACCTTTGGATATTCTTCCCAATGAGGTATCTTCTTTCCGGTACCTAGGTGTTACTTTATCCTCAAATCTCTCTTTCTCTCTTCATATGGAAACCCTTTTAACAAAAATTCAAAAACTTGTTTATTACATTCATCGTCTACGTTCATATCACACACCCCAGTCCTTACTCTGGCAATTCATAGATGGCTGTATTCTTCCACTCATTCTTTATTGTTCTCCAGTTATTTTTCCAGCTTTACTTAAAAAAGATCTAATTATTTTTAAACGTGTCATTCGAATGCTCACCTCTGCTGCTGGTGTTTCCTATCATCTTTTAGTTGATATCATCGTGCAGCGACACTTCAACTCGGTGGAGCAATTCGCTGACCGAATTCTGAATGACACCGTCCATCCCCTTCATAATGAGTTAATGGCTGCGAAATCCTTACGCCCCATGCGTCGATGCTTCCGCCACATCCCTTGCCGCACTTCGGCCTATCGGAATTCCATACTGCCATATCTAGCCCGGTATCTCACCTGCAAAGATGTTGAAAAACAAAAACTAAAACTCGATCTTGCACCTTAAAGTCCTTTTTTCTTCATATATAGTCATGTCCACCTGTCCAAAACCTGTTAATCTCTATGGTAATCACTGCGTACTGGAGAACCGTTTTTGCTGAAAGTTTTGAAAGTTATTTTCAAAATAAAGCAGTCCTCTCTCTCTTTACTAGCGGCGATTTGGGAGGAGTCGGTGGAGGAAGGGGGGAGGTCAAGTATCCTAGTCTTAATGGCTGTCGTGACGACTTTCATGGGGTAAATGCTAGGCAGGCTTCCATAATTTCGATTGTTGAATAAGATTGTCGATGAGAGCTAAGAAACAGGCTTCAGGGAGCAGTCCAGAAGAAGGAAACACGATTACTGCAACAGGAGATTTATTCGTCCGAGATTTTCGAATTCACAGTCTAATATAACCGAATATCCGGTCGAGCCTCTTGTTGGACCAGGCATTGTGAAGGAAATGGGACCGAAAAAGGCCGATGATAGGGTCTTGATTTACTTGTTTGTCACTTTAAAGGTCTTTTATGTTGATTCGTTGATCGTCATTCGCATAACACCTCCTACCAAGCTGTCTGAGACATCCGAATTTAGAAGACGAAGATGCGATTACTGGAACAAGAAATTTATTGGCCTGACGTTTCGGATGATGGAAGATGGATTCGAGTGAGAATCCGAAACGTCAGGCCAATAAATTTCTTCTTCCAGTAATCGCATCTTTGTCTTCTTAACTGCAACCTGGAACTATCAACATCCGAATTTCTCCCCATACTTTCCACCTGTCGTCTCCATTCGTAATGTTGAAGGCCTCGGTGAGGTTCGCAAAGTTGTTTTTATAATAGATGCTCATTTCTTAGTATTTTCCTTGCCGTTCCTTGGATGCAAAGTTCATATCGGTGGATCTGCAATCTTTCCCGTGTTCATACTTATCCTCAAGAAGAAGTCTCCGTTGGAGAAGTAGATTTAAGCCATATCTTAGTACTCAGGCGAAGATTCTGTCGGAAATAATAAAAAGGGAGATCTGCCGGCGATTATCACAGCAGTTTCTGTTTTATTTTCGCTTTAGTTGATAAATAAAATTTGTGCCCTTGAAATCTGGTA